AACATTATCATTGTTATTGTATATTTTCAAATAATTAATATTAGTGGAAATAAAACTAAAAATAATATTACTACAGTGTATTTGCCATGTGCATTAATCAGGGGCACCCAACGAGGATATAGTTCAAAACCGCTTAACATAGCATTGTTGAACGTATTTTAGTATTTAAACGGTAGATATAGGCATATTTTTATCCCCTAAAAACTTTTCACCTGTTCGGATTTCCTAGCTCAAAGTCTAGTGATCCGAAAATTATAGGGATCAAAACTTACCTTTTCGAAAATTTCAGCCAGGAAAAGGCTCCCGAAAATTCTAGGTGGCCTTTTTTAGGGTAAATATCCGTTTAAAATGGGTAATTATACCATTTTGTAGATGTTCGAAAGTCCTGGAAGAGGCAGGCAAGCAAGAAATTTTACAACAAATGTTCCGAAAATTCTAGTTCTCAAATCGTCTTCCGAACAGATATTTTCCCGAAAATTGCCGTTGGGTGCCCCTGATTAATTTTAACAACTAATGACGGCCATGATTATTGATATCATCATCATTATTAACTGTCATCCCTAAATTCAGCACCATCATCAAGGCAGGTTACCTTCATGTAAATTAAGCCAAGTTCCTTTACACCAACTGTGGCATCCATGCTGTACAGTTCATAAAATTTGCCAACCTGGTACAAATACATGGATATTAACATAGAATAGGATACTTTTGATAAAATTTAATTCTCAAGTACAAAAGGTGCAGTGAAGTGTCAGATGCTTACTACACTGTCGCTCAGAATGATAATAAAAAACTAAACTGTTTAAAGAAAAGGTCTTAAGCTCACTTGGAACAATCTGAGGCAGAGGGCGGGAAGGGGGTGCTGTCCCAACCCTATTTCCCAGGTCAATAACTCAAAGCATTAAAACTATATATAGGGATTGTGTTCAGATCCACTCTCAAAGCATTAAAACTATATATAGGGATTATGTTCAGATCCACTTTAACACATTACTTAAAACAATGTATCAAAAACAGAAAAAAAGAATTCTGCTTTTACTGTACCCACTTAAAGTCAATACCTGCCCGGCGTTTCATGTCTGTATCAACTGGCAATATTTATAATCTTTTCTATATAAGGGAATCCATTTCGTAAACGGAAAACGATTTGATTGTTTGAGCCCTTCAAACAGTTGCTTCGAACTTTAGAAATCACACGACACTACCAATCGAGGTCGAGACATTATGAGTCTATTAAACACATTCGCAGTTCAGGAAACTTAGTGCGAAAATTAAAATCTCAAGTAAGATATATGAAATAGAAAAAGGTAAGCTAAGATGAGTTTATTTATTTATTATTTTTTTACCAAAATACTTACCTGGAACTAAAGGCAACCGCCCTTTCGTGTCTTAAGTCTGTAGCGCTCAGTGCGTTAAGGACTTCCTGCACTCTTAATTTATGTACTCGTTTTGTTTCTGGTGAGTAAGTGACGACCGAAAAGCAGCATAATCCAAACGTCAAACCTCAAAGGCTTCCATGCCTCTTAACTAGTGTGATGAAAGCGTAATTGAAAAAAAATTCCAGACTTTCCCTGAATTCCACGAAACAAAAGCGCTATCTCCGCGATGTCACTGATATTCACATAGTCTCGATCGGAGCAGAATTGGCTTGGACTACCGTCACTTAGGAGCGATCGGATCGTACTGTCCAAGCCTTATAATCATAGTAAAATACCGACAGGCTTTCTCTGCAATACGACGGTGAGACAAAGGGTCATGGGGATATGGGTACCTCTTCTAAAAAAGTTCCTTCTGCGGGTACCAAGGCACAGATTTCGTGCAACAAAAGAACAATTCAACCAAACAATAAAGCACCCAGGAGAACTCTAACTCTGACTATTTTAAATGAAACAAATTGGAAACTTTCTTTAAACACCCTTGTGGTTGTTTCAGTCAGTTCCTTAGACGTTCCAACAGGCGCTTTTGTAGTACGCAAACATGAATAACACGCAACAAGCGCTCCTTGATCGGTGGACGCGTTCACGTACCTATAGCTGACCGTCTTTTTAATTTGTGAAAGGCAGATCCTTGCAAAGACAGAGTGAAATCTGGGTACGAGTTAAAAGTGTAGACATTAAAACTTTAGGGCGGCTATTTGAGCAAAGATTGGACGGGTTAAACTACCGTTTATTATTGACAATATCGACAGTTGCAAAATATGACATTTATACACTGGTTCTTCAATAGGCTAGTCTGAGTATCAGGCTTTTCTAAGAGGCTACGAGAGAGGAGATTTTCGCTTCTCTTTTCCCCGTTTTCCTCCAGAAAGGCTGTTAATAGACCTTTACTTGGCCTTTACCAACTTCCAAAAACCCTCGCTTTCAAAACGAGGCCAAGCACAGAAACGTACCTCATTATAAAAATGATTTCTTTAAATGATAATTTAGAAAGCTTATTTCACATCTACGTTTTTTCACCTGACGTAACCCGTAAATGGACTGGGGACTTTTCAAATAATCGAACCTTAGCTACCAACAGTAAAAGTGAAAAATCGTTCGGGTAAACTTTAATATATATATATGAAAGCATCAGTCCAATAAATACGGAATAAAAAGTTTACTTCCTGCTAAAAAATAGAAGTGACTTCTCAGCCACATGATTTAATTCAGGTGATGCTATAATGAGGAAAAACTAAGAAGCAAGCAGTTCTGAGGATTCCAACGAGATTTACACCTATGATCTTCCAGGACATCGTGGAGCGATATGCCATACAACTACAGTGATGTGTGTATTGAAAATCGTGGCAGGCTTTTGCTGCTTTTGATATATAATAATCATTCACACCTATTACTGAACCTGAAATAGGAGGACAATTGGCATTCTTAGGAATATAGTTGTATGACCGAGCGCGGCAAGAAGAGTCTTTCATACCTCAATGGTAGAAAGGGCATCCAACCGGTGAAATTCTTCTGTACAATTTGAAGACGGTTTAAATTTAAAACGGCTTTTGTACACTATTGCAATAAAGCTTTGGGTTTGACCCCTAACCCTGTTCACTAAGTAGCCTCTTCTCTTAAACGGAGTTACTTGATGAGCGCTTTAGCTCAGAAAACAGCTAAACTTCCCTTATTTATAAGAGAACTGTAGTCAGAGGGGTAAAATTCTAATTGAAATGAGCTAACGAATAACACAAAGACGCTGTAATGATTGATAGGCAGGCTCATTTCTAAAGAAACCAGAATGGCAGTAATGATATACTTCGAAAAGAGTTTAGAATTTCATAATCAACAACAACAACTTTATTGACTTTATCTTCGACATGAAGATTTCAGTACCAAAACAGTCAATACAATGACAAATGAAACAAAGTAAAATAAAACTTAAGTAAGAAAGAAAGTAACAACAACTATACATTGAATATTATCATAAAAGAAATATTACTTGGCTATATACGGCTCCTACGCTACTCGTTTGGTAAGAAAGTTTAATTAGAGTTCGGATTTACAACAATTTAGAATATTTTCAGTATAAGAGGCACTAAGATTAGACATGATATATAAAAATAGTGCCTTGCAAGACATATTCGTAAAATTACTGTTTATCGAGTATAGGCTCTCCAAGAAGATACCCCTTATATGAGAAAGTAATGAGTGAGTACATTTCAACAAATAGTGGAATTCATCACCAATTTCGGATCCATTACAAAGGGGGCAAAGCCTCTCAACTCTGGATATCTTCTTGTAGCGCCCAGATTCAATGGGTAGCAAGTGACAAGAAATGTGCATTTTGGTTAGTGCCACTCTTGTCTTAACGTTCTTTATAATATTAAATCAAGATAAGATTAATGCTGTAAGGGGACCAACTCGGAATAAAGCCCTAATTCTGAATTCTAGTGAGCACCCACCCATTCATTGCTGTCAGTTTCGCGTTTGAAAAATTAAAGATCAGCCCTAGCAGGTATGACAAGGCAGAGCAGAGGATTGGAAAACGCCCCATTCTAAACGGGGCTTTGAATACATCGTACATCGCCTGATTTGTTAAGTCTTATCAGTCACTAATGTGGGTCTTTCAATATATAAAAATTCAGCATGACAGCGAGTCTTAGAGGACACAAACATGTTTATTCATTTTCTTTGTTTGTGTCCTCTAAGACTCGCCATCATGCTGAATTGTCTTAGAACTTTCCGCTAAACACTGTCACTAGAGTAATCAACGAAACATTGGGATGGTGAATGATCTTAGGCAAATAAAAAACACCTTAAAAGTAATACCGTAAGTATCGTTTTGACGCAAAGCTGGGGCACCCAACGACGATTTTCTGTAAATATCTGCTCGGAGCGGAGTTTTTCACATTTCCCTTCCTAGGTTAGGCTGTTTTTCGTAGAAAAAAGGAAACCTAAAATTATTTTCGGATCCAAAAAAGTGATGGAGAGAGGAATCAGAAAAATTTTCACTTTCGTAATCGGTTAAATTCCAACCAACATTTTCGAGAAAACAATACAGAAGCCCTTGCAATTTCGAAAAGACTCAAGCACTCCTAAGATGAACGAGCAGATATAGCTTAGCTTAGATATCTATGTGGCATTTCATTACGTTCGTCAAGATCAGCACCTTAACAAAGTTTATCAAACCAAAGTTATACTCGTGTTCATGTAATACATGTAAGTGATTGAGCTTATTTACAGCAAGCGTAGGCACAGGATTATAACGAGTAGCAGAAGTCACTTAGAACGAAAAAAGTCCTGACTAATATTATATGTAGACGTAGGTTCAGAAGGTCTATAAAACTTTGACGTCTCCACTTGGAGGACGACTAACTGGTCCTGTCTACCCTTCCCGCTTCTAGTCTCCTTGTGCTCCGCGCTCAGCTCATGTTTCACCTTCGCTTGTAACGAACCAAAATGGCGCCTGCTTTAAAAAGTACAATTATCACCTGTTTTCTCTGCGGGTCTCAGACAAGACTACTTCAAGATTACTTGAGATCCTGGGTATATAACTTAAGCGACATGTCTCCTCTCAGTTTACAAGTTCTTTGTTTCCGTTGCACCTTCGCCATCTTTCGAACTGCTCTTCTCAAATGCACCTGCAAATAGAAAACCTAATCATCACGGTTCCCTTTCTTTGTACGATTTATTTTAGCCATGGCTCAACATGCTTCTGTTGCTCGTTGTGCTAAATGTTTTACCTAAATATCTCTAGCACAGATTTTTTTAACGAAAAACAAATAGCAAAACCTTTACACTTTGAGGAAATTATTTACATGCTAAAAATTCATTAAAGTCGTATTGTATCACTTTCAACCGCGACTGCCAGGACAATATGTATGCCGAATAATGAGGTATGCGATGTCAACTACCACCAGGGGAAGTGAGAGGGGCGAAACTTCTTAGTCACCGAACCCCGTTGAACTATCCAAGAAGCGGGCAAAAAAGCAATTTTAACCAAGGGCTGCAATGTATCATGCCATCAGCGCGAAGGCCAAACACGACGGAATTTAAAGGAGATACTTAATTCCCGCGTCACGGGCTAATTATGTATGCAATGAGAATATTTTACGTTCTTTTAATTTCCTTCGTTTGCTGTTTGTATACTGATTAGATTATATCTTGAAGCAGGAGATTGATATCAAGCCAACCATGCTTTACCTTGCAGCCCGAACAGCCCAGCCAATGGTTGCCCAAAATATCAGCCATCTCCTTTGGTACAAAATCGCGACCACAAAGAGAAGTAAAGCGAAACGTGTTGTAAAACCCATTTGAATCGAATGAAATACTTTCTTGTGGGAATATTAAATCTTGCGACTTCTCCTCGAAACAAGCATCATAAACGAGACTATTGATGACAAAAACCCTCCTTTTAAGAACACACGAAAACGACAAGGGAGTTGCCTTTAGCATATTTGCCAAAAAAATATCTGCATAAAAGAGAAGTTGGAAAATTAAATGCTCCTGCAGCTGCTTGGGCTAGATTAAGTGCCCAAGGAATCTTTCCGTCTGCTTTTAAACTCTGGCCCTCCGGTAATTAGTACTGATACCCTCTGAGCTGTCTGTGGTTCCCTGAAGATGAATCTGTTTTTAAGACTAAAAAATACATGCAGCGTTTTTATAGCCTGTTCCAGGCTCCTAGATAGTAGGGATGACGCGGTGAAAGGCGTGCAAAAATATGAGCACGTGACTTAGCCTGAGAAAAGGAAGGCGGTGGCGTTTATTTTCCTGTTCGCTCTTTCTACGTTTTTGTCTTTCATCAGGTACACCCCAAAGAAAAAGTACGTTTGACACTTATTTCTCTTCTCAATTACTCAAGTTTTTTTGGAATGTCAACTATCGTTTTCTACATTTTCATTTTAGTTATTTTAGAATGAGATCGGAGCATGCCTTACTAAATATTCCATGAAAATCGAAAAATAAAATTCGACCTTCTCTCCAGTTGCCTCACTTCCATGAACAGGGTTGGAAAAGACAATAAATAAAGAAACCAACAAAACTCAGTATAACTCCCTCAACAATGTTTTTCAAAATATTATGCGTTGTCACTAACATTAATTTCACATATTTTGAATGAAAATAGCTAAAAAAACCTAAAATTGATATCAAATACAAACCTTTGAATGCTACGTCATCTCCAATCAGCATAAAGGGTGCCCACTGCATGACGTCAGAAAAGTGATTCTCTCTCATCGACTTCATGGCCTGGTGAAGAGATTCACTTGCACTTTCACCATGAACAAGGTGCTCGTAAAAACGATTCATAAACCACATGGTAGCTTCGTCCTCTACAGCCCACAGTGCCGCCAACACGGCGCGTGCACCCGATGCTAGAAATGCTCGAGCGATTCCAACAACTCCCTCAGCCTTTATCTGACCACTTGCACTATGACAGCAGCTAAGGACAACCAGTTTGGCTGTTAGTCGAACTTGTGAAATTTCAGCCATCGTCAATAAGTAGTCTTCTTCGTTTGGAGTTCCGCAGGAGCTTATAGGGGAAAGAGCTATTTCTCCACGTTCAGCATAACCATGAGCAGCGAAGTGAATGAGACTTACTGAATGCATGCTTTTCAGGACTGCCTGCTTAGTTGCATCCCTTCCAAGCAACGGTTGAACACCGAGCAGTCGCCCAATCATCTCTGCTTCCTTTCTGGCCCAAGGCAATGAGTTTAACTGTAGAAGTTTTCCTTGGTAGTATACATCACTAACCTCTGACTCTCCTACGATCAGTGCACCGGTTTTACTATGGTAGTCTACTGGACTGAGCTGAATCAACTTAAGAGTCGTCAAGGAAGGGACAATACGAATCCTGAAAGTATCCGATAAATACTTTCCATTATCATCCATTAAAGCAGCAAAAGGAATTGGATACAACAAGTTATCCGGTACAATAATGATTTCTGATTGTTGGAGTAAGTCAGCTACAGGAGCGACTATCATGTTGTAACCATCAGCAAGGGTTAAAGGTTTAGAGTCGTGATTTTCGTCTTCCTCTTCTTCTACAAGACGCAAAAATTCGAAGCTGTCACTCTGAGATGGTTTGCATGATGGTGGGGAACTTACACATGAAAACAATGATCGATCTTCGCATTGGTCTTGACGTAAATCAGGAGAGCCACCAAATTTCCGATTTCCAAACAATTTCTCTGTACTTTCTTGAAGTGTCTTTTGTCGAAAATTTATTATTTTGTTTGGCTTGAGGATCCAAAAACACATATCATCATCGAAGCAGAAAACAAAAAGACAAGAACTAAGTGAATTTTTGTTCATGATGTTCTCAATACCAATCCATGACTGTGGGTTGACTGATACCCCTTTATCCACAGAGTACGTTTCCGATAGTACGTCTGTCAGTGCCCTGGACCGTCCAAGCTCGGCAACGTACAGAGCTTCATAATAACTGCCTTTAGCAATCAACAACCCACAAAGATGAAGGTAAGGGGACACATGCTTATCAAAAAATGAAATTTTGAATTGATCTTTCACTTTTAAAAAATCATGCATTTCTTCGCACTTCTGAATGCTCTCATAAAGATTTCGCCGAACCTCAGTTGTGATTCCTCCTGCCACTAACGCGTTTAAAGCAATGGTAAGGTGGCTGTCAAACTGCAGTTCAATGTCCCCTATTTCGTAACTTATCTCCAGTGCTTTATTAGCAAATTCCTGACTCTTCGCATTAAGCTGAAGCTCTGAACAAAGTTTCCCCAGCTGTAAGTATAAAGCTCCAACACCAGCTTTGTCACCGATTTCTTTACAGATCGCTAGTGCCTTTTGAAGGCATTCTTCAGCCTTGGTATGTTGACCAACAGAATGAAACACACTTCCTAGATTTCCGTAAGCTGATGCTACGCCGTTTTGGTCACCGATTTCTTTGTTGATCACTAGTGCTGTTTGAAGGTATTCTTCAGCCTTGGTATATTGACCAACAGAACTAAACACACTTCCTAGATTTCCGTAAGCTGTAGCTTCTCCCCTTTTGTCACCGATTTCTTTCCTGATCACTAGTGCTTTTTGAAGGTATTCTTCAGCCTTGGTATATTGACCAACAGATCTAAAGACAGTTCCTAGATTTCCGTAATCTGCAGCTTCTCCTTCTTTGTTACCGATTTCTTTCCTGATCACTAGTGCTTTTTGAAGGTATTCTTCAGCCTTGGTATATCGACCAACAGATCTAAAGACAGTTCCTAGATTTCCGTAAGCTGTTGCTTCTCCTTTTTTGTCACCGATTTCTTTCCTTATCACTAGTGCTTTTTGAATGTATCCTTCAGCCTTGGTATATTGACCAACAGACTTAAACACACTTCCTAGACTTCCGTAAGTTGCAGCTTCTCCTTCTTTGTCACCAATTTCTATCATGATCACTAGTGCTTTTTGAAGGTATTCTTCAGCTTTGGTATATTGACCAATAGACTGAAACACACTTCCTAGACTTCGGTAACATATTCCAACTCCGCGATTGTTTCCAACCTGAATCGTGATGCCGAGTGCCTTCTCGTAAAACTGTTTTGCTTCCTTGTATTTGCTTATTTGATAGTAGATGTTCGCTATTCCATGTAATACCATCCCCTCTTCTTCTTTTTGGCCACTATTGTGTAGTATCACGTGAAGCTTTTTACCACATTCTACCGCACGGGTATGATCGTAGATGAGAGTATAGCCATGAAAAAGTTTATGGTATACAGAGATAACAAGTGGTGTGGTAAGTTCTTTGACTGTCTCTAGGGCTTTACCGTTAAGGAGCACCAAACATTCGTTTAAGATGTCCACTGCTTTTATAATACGTCCATTGTTGAAAAGAAAAGTTGCAACGACTCCACCAATACGAATGGTCTGAATGGTCTGTAGAATCTCCAACATGTTGTCCATGACGCTTTTTTCTGAACCTTGAGAAAAAAATATTTTAAGAGTAAGAAAGTGGAAACAAGATTCGTAACGTCTTTTGACAGAACAGGTAACCTTCTTGGGCAAGATAATCCACAGGCGGCCCAAACTCACGTTACGAGGGAAGGGTGTAATGTAATTTACATACCTTAGGTGACGCGCCGGTGTCGCGTTACAGGCGACAGTTGGAAATGTAAGAGTCTTTGTATGTATGAAAGGAGTAACAGTGGTTACGCAATAAAGCAAAAAAAACATTTTTACCTCTTTTAAGAAAAACCGTTTGCATCCCATACAAACCTTTGTAAATAATCGTTTGTAACACAACACCGCTCGCAAGCAAGAGTCACGTCCGCGTTCATGAAATGAGCTTGGGCCGCCTGTGCCTAAGGTATGTAAATTACATTACACCCTTCCCTCGTAACGTGAGTTTGGGCCGTCTGTGGATAATCAAGTTTCCATGCAAGATTTACCAGGGTAGGTCACGATTATAAGTGTTGGATTTCTTTGGCCTAGTATTCTATACTTGTTGAATCTGCAAATGTAGAATATCTATTGAAATAAATAGTTTTACAGACTAGTTTGTAACGCACTGTTTACTATCATACACCTTATTGTTAAAAATTCAGGGAAATAAAACTATTTCAGTCACATGCGAACCCAAGTACTCACTTAATCCTGACTCGATCATTCCCTACTCTGTTTGATGTCTTTACTTAAATAGCCAGTCTAACTTTTGTTTATAATATTTGCCATTACATCTTATATAGTGCTTTATAATTTTGGCCAGCTGCTTAATGTTACTATTGACCTTTATCCCGATCTTTATCTCCGGTATCGCAAAGGTCAGGCTTCAAATCCTGGTAAGCCTGAATTTTTCGCTTTTGTCAGGCTTTCTTTCCACAAGTGCATAAAGCTGCGTCTTTAACAGCGAGGATCTTCTCGACATTTAAACTCTTTGAAGTTCGACATGAGGGCAAAGAAATCTGTCAGGATCTTTTTTTTTTTTCAAGTCATAACTAAAAAGTAAAGAAAGTGCAGTCGAAAAACGTCTTTCCTTGGCTGCAGAGTTCCTAAGCAGTGGTGAGATGACAAGGCAAGCCAGAAGTTCTTAGCGACCAGCGGAACATGGATACAACGAAGGGCTAAGGGACTAGTAAAACGTGTTCGCTTTATTAAGGTTCCGCACTGAGGTCTTCAACACCGATTTATTGTCTGATCAGGACAGCAAAGCTGTTCATAAAAGGGCAGATGTGATTAAACTTAAAGGTACGGTGTAGGCGTGTTTTATTGAGCTCCGCACTTAGTAGTGAAATTTTGGGTGAAATTTTGATAATTACTCGAATTGATTTAAATAGACACTACCCACCTAGACTAGCCTTTGCTATTTGCGGGCAGTGAGAAAACACAATTGTAAATATCTTAATAAAGCAATAAATGAATGAAATGAAATGAAATGAATGGATGCAATTTGCTTAAAGGCAAAGGCAGCGCTTATTACGCTGCTATGGGATATAAAATTGTGATTATTCAGATTAAGAATTATTCAGCCAAACCGCAAAAAAGTCGATAGATTTACTGCTTGAAACATAAATGTTGGTAAGTCAATTTATAACAAATTCATATACGTTATGATCAAGTACCGCTCAGTGTCTACTCGCAGCACTTCATGACTTTAATAGACATCGCACAGAAGGGCTATTGTTCTCGGGACATTTACTTACAGTCGAGCTGGAAGCATAGGTCTGTAATATTGCAGGTGAAGCGTAAACTGAATCGCTCTCATTGGTGGAATTCTGCGCGGTCTTTGTAACCTCTAGTAATAAGCGAAAGAAGCCCTCGTTCGAAGTCCTGGTTCGAATCCTAGCTCGAACCCATCCTCGAGTTTTACGCTTTGTATTTAGGTATACTCAAGTATATGCCACGGAAACACTTGAATTCTGCGCATTAACTGAAAGCTCTCTTGAAATATTGCCCGCGTTCTACAGTCGCTTTACTTTTCAGAATAGACAAATCTGCCAACTCTTTACAAACGTTTCTGATTCTGTCAGCAATTATACTTGTTTATGATTTCCAGGTTACTGATTCAGGAAATAACAAATAATCTCTACAAATTGTGTTCCCATCATCTCATAATATTTTTTTTATACATACAAAAGTTAAGTAACCTATAACAAAACTAAGAAGGATAACTTCTTCTTTCTTTATGTAGTTTTTGCTTAGTCAGAAAAATATATCGTCCCTTTTCTGAACTAGTCAAAGACAAGGCAGACTACTTACCTCTTGCGAGTGAAGTTTGTCGCGCCTGACGTGCTAGCAAACTATCACAGGCTGTTTTGCTCTGAAAGACCAGTAAATTCAAGGAGTGCCTTGTTAAATATAGATGTCGAGCTACTTCGTTGACACTGTTAACAGGGAAAATTAAAGACTCGCATGCCACCATGGTAAAGGAAAGCTACACAAATTAGGGCCTGTTTACAAGGAGAGAAGGTTACCCTTGTGCTGTGGAAAACGCGTTAAATTCACGAAAAAAAAGGGAAAATATTATCATCGTAGACAGAAAATAACTTTTTTTTTTAGATGTTTATAATTAAGCTAATTATAATTAATTAAGTTTATAATTGAGGGCCGTAGGTTAGAAAACTGTAATAGGTTATTGCGCTTCCCTCTTTAAATAAAGTTATTGCTCAGAAACTGATTAATAGTATTCAAATTAGCACGATTACTAGTCACGCATCACGGCGGAAAGTTGACCCGGGTAGGTGAGTTATCCCTAGCAGAGCGTTTACAAGGCAGGTAGGGTAACCCTCTTGCTAAAGTAACCCTAGCATCAGGGTTACCCTCTCTCCGTGTAAACAGGGCCTAAAACTGAAACTAAAGACAAATAGCTACAAATTATGTAGCTTGCAACCGCTTAACACACGAAGCGGAATTTATAAGATCTCGGTGGATGCAAGACTTGACATGAAAAGCGATTAACAACGCTGACATAAAATGTATTCTAAAGTGTTAGGAAAAGAGAGATACAAGAGATCAAAATTGGTCATGAAAAGAACAGTGAGAATCAACCAACTGCATATAACTAGTAAACAAAACGTTACATGAATAGTAGGGGAAAAAACCCGTCACTTTTTGTTGCTCAACCTGTGAAATGGATGAACTTCAAAGATTCACAACTATAAGTGAGAATAAAAAAAGTTTTTTGTATCTTCCGACACTTTAAGTTCAAAATATCGCTATGAAACCGTAAACCCAAGAAGGGTTTTTTCCAACTCGCTTGACGTCAAACTTAATAGTTTAAATTAAGCAGGCAATGCTTTTGAATCCTTTAAAGCCGTAGCCATTGTCCTTGCAATCAAGTAAAAGTTCTCAAAATCTTTTGTTGATGAAGAGTCTGCCGGTATTTAGGAATCCCAACGAAAGAAATATTAATTTGCCCTACCGCTGATCATCAACAAGAAATCGTTTCGCTTTCCGAGAAGAAGGAAAGAAACAAGTAACTCTCTCTTCTTGGCATCTCAAGAACTAAAAATGAATATTCAAATTTTAAGCTAAGAAATGTAAATGGCTAGATCAACGCACTCAGCAAGAAATCTGTCTCAACGGAAGTACCGAAAGGAAAGTTTAAATTTGAAAGCTCTGGGACCGTTCCTACATTCTAAGAAATTAAACCTCGCATGTTTATGATTCCCCGAAGGAAACTCCCTAGCCTTTGACATGATAACATACGTGACGTGTTGCGAGGCAGCATGTCTACTGATGAATTTTGGAACTTTTAGTATCAGGGGCACCAAACGACTTTTTTCAACACAGTTTGTTGTAGGGAGGAAATATTGCCTAGAAATCTGTAAAACTTGGGAAAGGCTAACCTGTTGAAGATCGTCGAGCGCGCGCCTGACTAGAAATCGCGGGAATTTATTGACCGCAATCGAATATTGGGAATTCTGTTTTTTTACTAACTTACCCCCGATTTTCGGGGGTTTAATTTTTCAAATTTTATTACCAAGATAAAATGATTATTGTTAAGAAAGGTTTCCTTAAAATTTCCGTATAAGGAAAATGTCCACTAGACTCCTCTAATGAAAGTATGGACAAACATAATTTTTAGGGCAGCTCCAAATTTACCAAACATGCTATCCTTTACTACCTAACGTATTCTTCTGCGCCTTAGCGACTACTGTGCTACGGCTTAAAAACCAGGGACTTTCCCTTAACAGGGTGAGTTTTGAAATTATGAAAATTCATATTTGATTTCGATGCTAAGGGGAAAATAACGAAATAAATGAATTGTCTATCATCGAATCTCAATGCGACATATTTCCTTCTGTTTTTCTCAACCTCTAAGCCAGTTATGAATTTTAATAATTCGATACTGATCTAAAATGGAAGGCAAAACTGGACCTCACTACAGGAAAACTTCACATAAATGGCCCCTAGATGTGAATAATAATCAACTATTGAACGAAGTTGGACAAAGTATTGTCATCTCTTAAGTGCTAAACAGATAAATTACGGAGAAATGATGAAATCAACATGGAAAGAGATATAGTACAGAGATACTGCAAAATTTTGTTGGAAGTAGCAAATATTGCCTAGAAATCTCTAAAACTTGGGAAAGGCTAACCTGATCCCATATTCTCTATTTATCTCTTTCCAGATCGTCGAGAGCGCGTATGAAGATAGAGATCGCGGGTATTTATTGACCGCAAGCGAATATAGGGAATTTTTCTTAGTATTAGGGGGAAGTCAAACTACTCACCTTCCTCCGAAGAAGTTTGTGGCGCCTGACTTGTTACGAAGTTGTGAACGGCTGTTTCGCTGTGCAAGGCTAACGAACGCAGTAATCGAATGTAGCGGTGCCAAGATGTATTATAACACTCATACGCACTGAAAACCTAATTTCAGCAATATTAACCCTGCAAAACGAATGACATTTGGAACTGTTTTACTTTCCAAGAAAGTGAAGGGGACTAACATGCTCCAATACAAACATTAGAAAAAAACGGAAATGATTTATGTTTGTGACATAATATAGTGGCGGATCCAGGGAAGGCATCCCCTCTCGCTTGCTGAGGGATTAGACCGAGAAATGAAGCACATGCGCATTAGATACCAGTTCTTACCTGATTTGCATGTCACAAGACACGCGCGTGAACCAGAAAGTGAAAAAGCATATCCGAAATACTCAAAACAAACCTTGTAGAGGTGAACTAGTTACAAGCCGAAATCGTAATTTTAGACACTAAGCCATATCAGAGCAGGCATTGTTTTATATACCATTGAGAATTCACCGATGGATTTTTCCAGGGAAAGCCAAACATCGACGAATACTTCCGAATTCGATCATCTGCAGAGGTGAGAACACAGGGTCCAGAGGAGTTTCGTGTGAATAAATGAATTACTTATTTAAAGTCTCACCTTGAAAAATGTCTATACCTGTCGCTTAGCAAGATTAATTAGCCTAATGGGATCTTAATGAATCTACTGTAAACGATTTCTTCACTTCTTATCTGACCCAGATCGACTTTGTTGTGCGCCATTTTCAATAACCGCAAGCCATATACTCGCTGGGCACGGAACGTCGCCCGAAGGGTGCCCGAAGGCCGTCGCCCGAAAGGCGAGCCCTCAGTCTCTTGGTTTGCAAATTCCAACGAGAAAAAGACCTGTTTATTGTTCTGTCTATCGTATATATTCAAATTTCAAACACTTACTTGCCGGAATTTCTGAATATGTTACTTTAAGTCGAGGCTAACCCTGTATGAATGTGTCGTTAATGTTTGTATTCAGCGGTAATTTTTAATTCGAAACTGGTCTATTCTAAGGAAATCAGAATGACAGTAATGACATACTTCGAAAAGAGTTTAGGATTTGCCGGCATTCTAAAGATCTCAAGACCGTTTCATAAACCAGGTTCATAATCAACAACAACAACAACTTTATTGACTTTATCTTCGACATGAAGATTTAAGTACCAGAACAGTCAATACAATGACAAATGAAACAAAGTAAAATAAAAGTTAAGAAAGAAAGAAAGTAACAACAACTATATATTGAATATTATCATAAAAACGAAAAAATTACTTGGCTATGTACGGCTTCTACGATACTCGTATGGTAAGAAAGTTTAATTACAGTTCGGATTTACAAACAATTTAGAATATTTTCAATATAAGAGGCACTAAGATTTATGATGTTTTCATCGCACATAGTCGCACATAGACATGATATATAAAAATTGTGCCTTCCAAGACATATTCGTAAAATTACTGTTTATCGAGTATAGGCTCTCCAAGAAGATACCCCTTATATGAGAAAGTAATGAGTGAGTACATTTCAACAAATAGTGGAATTCATCACCAATTTCGGATCCATTACAAAGGGAGCAAAGCCTCTCCACTCTGGGTATCTTCTTGTAGCGCCCAGATTCAATGGGTAGCAAGTGGCAAGAAATCTGCATTTTGGTTAGTGCCACTCTTGTCTTAACGTTCTTTATAATATTAAATCAAGATAAGATTAATGCTGTAAGAGGACCAACTCGGAATAAAGCCCTAATTCTAAATTCTAGTGAGCACCCACCCATTCATTGCTGTCAGTTTTGCATTTAAAAACTTAAAGATCAGCCCTAGCAGGTATGACAAGGCAAGGCAGAGGATTGGAAAACGCCCCATTCAAAACTGGAAAATACAATTTCGTACATCACCTGATTTGTTAAGTCTTGTCAGTCACTAATGTGGGTCTTTCAATATATAAAAATTCAGCACGAAAGCGAGTCTTAGAGGACATAAACATGTTTATTCATTTTCTTTGTTTGTATCCTCTAAGACTCGCCATCATGCTGAATTGTTTTAAAACTTTCCGCTAAACACTCTCACTACAGTAATCAATAAAACATTGGAATGGTGAATGAACTTAGGAAAATTAAAAAACAGCTTAAAAGTAATACCGTAAGAATCGTTTTGACGCAAAGCTGGGGCACCCAACGACGATTTTCTGTAAATATCTGTTCGGAGCGGAGTTTTTCACATTTCCCTCCCTAGGTTAGGCTGTTTTTCGTAGAAAAAAGGAACCCTAAAATTATTTTCGGATCCAAAAGTGTGATGGATAGAGGAATCAGAAAACTTCTCACTTTCGTAATACGTTAATTGCAACTAACATTTTCGAGAAAATAATACAGAAGCCCTTGCAATTTCGAAAAGACTCAAGCAGCCCTAAGATGACCGACCAGATATAGAATGTGATTCTAGAGATGTAAAAGTACTCTGGATTGCCTTGAAGGTGTTTTCAATGTATTTAGGAGGAAACCGTCGTTGGGTGCCCCTCGCAAAGAGCACTTAATTCCAGAGAACGCTTGCTTCCCTTTTCTTAGCTTAGATATTTATTTGGCATTTCATTACGTTCGTCAAGATCAGTACCTTTACAAAGTTTATCAAACCAAAGTTATACTCGTGTTCATGTAAGACGTGTAAGTGATTGAGCTTATTTACAGCAAGCGTGCACAGGATTATAACGAGTACCAGAAGTCACGTAGAACGAAAGACGTCCTGACTAATTTTGTAGACGTAGGTTCAGAAGGTCTATACAACTTTGACATCTCCACTTTGAGGACGACTAATTGGTCCTGCCTACCCCTTTTCCCTTGTGCTCCGCGCTCAGCTCATGCTTTACCTTCGCCTGTAACGTATCAAAATGGCGCCTGCTTTAAAAAGTACAATTATCACCTGTTCTCTTTGCGAGTCTCAGACAAGACTACTTCATTGAGATCCTGGGTATATACATTTATGCACAGCTGTGACAGTAATTGTCAACTTAAACGACGTGTTTCCTCTCAGTTTACAAGTTCTTTGTTTCCGTTGCACCTTCGCCATCTCTCGAACAGCTCTTTTCATGATCAAATGCACCTGCAAATAGAAAAACTAATCATCACGGTTCCCTTTCGTATGTATTATTTGCACGATTTATTTTACCATCGATCAACATGCTTCTGTTACTCGTTGTGCTAAATGTTTTACCTAAATATCTCTAACACATATTTTTTTTAAAGTAAAACAAAATTATTTATACGCTAAAAATTCATTAAATTCGTATTGTATCATGCACTTTCAGCTTAAATGCGATTCTTATAATATTCGCATTGCATACTTATTGTTCCGACACGGGGAACTAAGTTATGGGAGGCAACCACGACTGGCAAGACAATAGGCATGCCGAATAATAAGGTATGCGATGTCAACCACCACCAGAGGAGGTGGGAGGAGCGAAACTTCTAATTATAAGTCACTCCCACTGACCCCGTTGAACTAGCCTAGAGGCGGGCAAAAGAAGCAATTCTAACCGAGGGCACCAATGCATCATGCCATCAGCGCGAAAGCTCAACACGACGGAATTTAAAGGAGTTACTTAATTCCCGCGTCACGGGCTAATTATGTATGCAGTGGGAATATTTTCCTTTCTTTTAATTTCCTTCGTTTGCTGTTTGTATACTGATTAGATTATATCTTAAAGCAGGAGGTTGATATCAAGCCAACCATGCTTTACCTTGCAGCCCGAGCAGCCCGAGCAGCCCGAGCAAACCGGCCAATGGTTGCCCAAAATATCAGCCATCTCCTCTGGTACAAAATCGCGACCACGAAGAGAAGTAAAGCGAAACGTATTGTAAAACCCAATTGAATCGAATGAAATACTTTCTTGGGGGAATATTTAATCTTGCGACTTCTACGCGAAACAAGCATCATAAAAGAGACTATTGATGACAAAAACCCTCCTTTTAAGAACACACGAAAACGACAAGGGAGTTGCCTTTAGCTCATTTGCCCAAAAAATATCTGCATAAAAGAGACGTTGGAAAATTAAATGCTCCTGCAGCTGCTTGGGCGAGATTAAGTGCCCGAGGAATCTTTGTGTCGGCTTTTGAACTCTGGCCCTCCGGTAATTAGTACTTATACCCTCTGAGCTGTCTCTGGTTCCCTGAGGATGAATCTGTTTTAAGACTAAAAAATATGCAGCGTTTTTATAGCCTGTTCCAGGCTCTCAGATAGTAGGGATGACGCGGTGAAAGGCGTGCAAAAATATGAGCGCGTGACTCTGAGAAAAAGAGGGCGGAAGCGTTACTTTATTTTCCTGTTCGCGCTTTCTCAATTTGGAACAGGCTGGCCTGGTGAGCTACGTTTTTGTCTTTCATCAGGTACACCGCCAAGAAAAAATACGTTTGACACTTATTTCTCTTCTCAATTACTCACATTGTTTTGGTATGTTTTTTTGGAATCTCAACTATCGTTTTCTACATTTTCATTTTAGTTAGTTATTTTAGAATGAGATGGAAGCATGCTTTACTAAATATTCCATGAAAATCGGAAAATAAAATTCGGCATTCTGTCCAGTTGCCTCACCTCCATGAACAGGGTTGGAGAAGACAATAAATAAAGAAACTAACAAAACTCTGTATAACTCCCTCAACAATATTTTTCAAAATACTGCGTTGTCACGAACATTAATTTCACATATTTTGAATAAAAAATAGCTAAAAAACCTAAAATTGATATCAAATACAAACCTTTGAATGCTACATCATCTCCAATCAGCATAAAGGGTGCCCACTGCATGACGTCCGAAAAGCGATTCTCTCTCATCGACTTCATGGCCTGGTGAAGAGATTCACTTGCACTTTCACCATGAACAAGGTGCTCGTAAAAACGATTCATAAACCACATGGTAGCTTCGTCCTCTACAGCCCACAGTGCCGCCAACACGGCGCGTGCACCCGATGCTAGAAATGCTCGAGCGATTCCAACAACTCCCTCGGCCTTTATCTGACCACTTGCACTATGACAGCAGCTAAGGACAACCAGTTTGGCTGTTAGTCGAACTTGTGAAATTTCAGCCATCGTCAATAAGTAGTCTTCTTCGTTTGGAGTTCCGCAGGAGCTTATAGGGGAAAGAGCTATTTCTCCACGTTCGGCATAACCATGAGCAGCGAAGTGAATGAGACTTACTGAATGCATGCTTTTCAGGACTGCCTGCTTAGTTGCATCCCTTCCAAGCAACGGTTGAACACCGAGGAGTCGCCCAATCATCTCTGCTTCCTTTCTGGCCCAAGGCAATGAGTTTAACTGTAAACGTTTTCCTTGGTAGCATACATCACTAACGTCTGGCTCTCCTACGATCAGCGCACCGGCTTTGCTATGGTAGTCTTCTGGACTGAGCTGAATCAACTTAAGAGTCGTCAAGGAAGGGACAATACGAATCCTGAAAGTATCTGATAAATACTTTCCATTATCATCAATTAGAGCAGCAAAAGGAATTGGATACAACAAGTTATCCGGTACAATAATGATTTCTGATTCTTGGAGTAAGTCAGCTACAGGAGCGAATATCATGTTGTAACCATCAGCAAGGGTTAAAGGTTTAGAGTCGTGATTTTCGTCTTCCTCTTCTTCTATAAGACGCAAAGATTCGAAGCTGTCACTCAGAGATGGTTTGCACGATGGTGGGGAGCTTACACAAAACAATGATCGATCTTCGCATTGGTCTTGACGTAAATCAAGAGAGCCACCAAATGTCTGATTTCCAAACACTTTATCTGCACTTTCTTGGAGTGTCTTTTGTCGAAAATTTATAATTTTGTTTGGCTTAAGGATCCAAAAGTACATATTATCATCGAAGCAGGAAACATAAAGACAAGAACTAAGTGCATTTTTGTTCATGATGTTCTCAATACCAATCCATGACTGTGGGTTGACTGATACCCCTTTATCCACGGAGTACTTTTCCGATAATACGTCTGTCAGTGCTCTGGATCGTCCAAGCTCGGCAACGTACAGAGCTTCATAATAACTGCCTGTAGCAATCAACAACTGACAAAGAAGAAGGTAAGGGGACACATGCTGATCAAAAAATGAAATTTTGAATTGATCTTTCACTCTTAAAAAGTCATGGATTTCTTCGCACTTCTGAATGCTCTCATAAAGATTTCGCCGAACCTCAGTTGTGATTCCTCCTGCCACTAAAGCGTTTAAAGCAATGGTAAGGTGGCTGTTAAACTGCGTCTCAATGTCCCCTATTTCGTAACTTATCTCCAGTGCTTTATTAGCAAATTCTTGACTCTTCGCATTAAGCTGAAATTCTCGAAAAAGTTCTCCAAGCTGTAAGTATAAAGCTCCAACACCAGCTTTGTCACCGATTTCTTTCATGATGACTAGTGCTTTTTGAAGGTATTCTTCAGCCTTGGTATATTGACCAACAGATCTAAACACAGTTCCTAGATTTCCGTAAGCTGATGCTACGCCATTTTTGTCACCGATTTCTTTCCTGATCACTAGTGCTTTTTGAAGGTATTCTTCAGCCTTGGTATATTGACCAACAGACTTAAACACAGTTCCTAGATTTCCATAAGCTGTTGCTTCTCCCGCTTTGTCACCGATTTCTTTGTTGATCATTAGCGCTTTTTGAAGGTATCCTTCAGCCTTGGTATACTGACCAACAGAACAAAACACAGTTCCTAGATTTCCGTAAGCTGATGCTACTCCTTCTTTGTGACCGATTTCTTTCCTGATCATTACTGCTTTTTGAAGATATTCTTCAGCCTTGGTATATTGACCAACAGAAAGAAACACAGTTCCTAGATTTCCGTAATCTGCAGCTTCTCCCGCTTTGTCACCGATTTCTTTCCTGATCACTAGTGCTTTTTGAAGGTAATCTTCAGCCTTGGTATATTGACCAACAGAGCTAAAGAGAGTTCCTAGACTTCCGTAAGCTGATGCTACGCCATTTTTGTCACCGATTTCTTTCTTGATCACTAGTGCTTTTTGAAGGTATTCTTCAGCCTTGCTATATTGACCAACAGAAAGAAACACAGTTCCTAGATTTCCGTAATCTGCAGCTTCTCCCGCTTTGTCACCGATTTCTTTCCTGATCACTAGTGCTTTTTGAAGGTAATCTTCAGCCTTGGTATATTGACCAACAGAAAGAAACACAGTTCCTAGATTTCCGTAATCTGCAGCTTCTCCCTCTTTGTCACCGATTTCTTTGTGGATCACTAGTGCTTTTTGAAGGTAATCTTCAGCCTTGGTATATTGACCAACAGAAAGAAACACAGTTCCTAGATTTCCGTAATCTGCAGCTTGTCCTTCTTTGTCACCGATTTCTTTCCTGATCACTAGTGCTCTTTGAAGGTATTCTTCAGCCTTGGTATATTGACCAACAGATTGAAACACCCTTCCTAGATTTCCGTGAGCTGATGCTTCTGCCCTTTTGTCACCGATTTCTTTCTTGATCACTAGTGCTTTTTGAAAGTATTCTTCAGCCTTGGTATATTGACCAACAGATTGAAACACAGTTCCTAGATTTCCGTAATCTGCAGCTTCTCCCGCTTTGTCACCGATTTCTTTCCTGATCACTAGTGCTTTTTGAAGGTATTCTTCAGCCTTGGTATATTGACCAACAGACTTAAACACAGTTCCTAGATTTCCGTAAGCTGTTGCTTCTCCCCTTTTGTCAACGATTTCTTTCCTGATCACTAGTGCTTTTTGAAGGTATTCTTCAGCCTTAGTATATTGACCAACAGAAAGAAACACTGTTCCTAGATTTCCGTAAGCTGTTGCTTCTCCCCTTTTGTCACCGATTTCTTTCTTGATCATTAGCGCTTTTTGAAGGTATTCTTCGGCCTTGGTATATTGACCAACAGAAAGAAACACAGCTCCTAGATTTCCGTAAACTGTAGCTTCTCCTTCTTTGTCACCGATTTCTTTGCTGATCACTAGTGCTTTTTGAAGGTATTCTTCAGCCTTGGTATATTGACCAACAGATCTAAAGACAGTTCCTAGATTTCCGTAATCTGCAGCTTCTCCTTTTCTGTCACCGATTTCTTTCCTGATCACTAGTGCTTTTTGAAGGTATTCTTCAGCCTTGGTATATTGACCAACAGAAAGAAACACTGTTCCTAGATTTCCGTAATCTCTAGCTTCTCCTTTTTTGTCACCGATTTCTTTCCTGATCACTAGTGCTTTTTGAAGGTATTCTTCAGCCTTGGTATATTGACCAACAGATCTAAAGACAGTTCCTAGATTTTCGTAATCTGCAGCTTCTCCTTTTCTGTCACCGATTTCTTTCCTGATCACTAATGCTTTTTGAAGGTATTCTTTAGCCTTGGTATATTGACCAACAGAAAGAAACACTGTTCCCAGATTTTCGTAATCTGCAGCTTCTCCTTCTTTGTCACCGATTTCGTTGCTGATCACTAGTGCTTTTTGAAGGTATTCTTCAGCCTTGGTATATTGACGAACAAAAAGAAACACAGCTCCTAGATTTCCGTAATATGTAGCTTCTCCTTCTTTGTCACCGATTTCTTTGTGGATCAATAGTGCTTTTTGAAGGTATTCTTCAGCCTTGGTATATTGACCAACAGAAAGAAACACTGTTCCTAGATTTCCGTAAGCTGTTGCTTCTCCCCTTTTGTCACCGATTTCTTTCTTGATCATTAGCGCTTTTTGAAGGTATTCTTCAGCCTTGGTATATTGACCAACAGATTGAAACACAGTTCCTAGATTTCCGTAACATATTCCAACTCCGCGATTGTTTCCAGCCTGAATCATGATGCCGGGTGCCTTCTCGTAAAACTGTTTTGCTTCCTTGTATTTGCTTATTTGATAGTAGATGTTCGCTATTTTAAGTAATATCATCCCTTCTTCTTCTTTTCGGCCACTATTGTGTAGTGTCACGTGAAGCTTTTTACCACATTCTACCGCACGGGTGTGATCTTTGATAAGAGTATAGCCATCAAAAAGTTTATCGTATACATAGATAACAAGTGGTGTGGTAAGTTCTTTGATTGTCTCTAGGGCTTTACCGTTAAGGAGCACCAAACATTCGTTAAAGATGTCCACTGCTTTTCTAATACGTCCACTTTTGAAAAGAAAAGTTGCAACGACTGCACCAATATGAATGGTCTGTAGAATCTCCGAGATGTTGTCCATGACGCTTTTTTTCTGAACCTTGAAAAAAAAAATATTTTAAGAGTAAGAAAGTGGAAACAAGATTCTTAACGTCTTTTGACAGAACAGCTAACCTTCTTGGGCAATATAATCAAGCTTCCATGCAAGATTTATTAAGGTAGGTCACGATTATAAGTGTAGGATTTCTTTGGCCTAGTATTCTATACTTGTTGAATCTGCAAATGTAGAATATCTATAAAAACAAATAGTTTTACAGACTTGTTTGTAACGTACTGTTTACCTTCATACACCATACTGTTATAAATTATGTAAAATAAAACTATTTCTGTCACATGCTTTGAAAGTCGCGAACCCAAGTACTCATTTAATCCTGACTCATTCCCCACTCTGTCTGATATCTTTACTTAAAAATACCCAGTCTAACTTTTGTTTTTAATATTTGCCATTACATCTTATATAGTGCTTTATAATTGTTGCCGGCTCATTAATTTTAGTATTGACCTTTTTCTCGCTTTTTATCTCCGGTATCGCATAGGTCAGGGTTCAATCCTGGTAAGCCAGTTTTTTTTTTGTTAGTTCAATAACTACACCGCTGTTCAATAAGTACACAACAGATCATTAACCACAGCAGTAGTTCAATGACCACACATTAGTTCATTGAGCGTAAACTATATGTAGCTGCGGGAAAAATAGCCACAAATACGTTTACTTAGTTATTTTTTAATAAGAATGCGTAGCATTCAGTAAGTGGTAAATACTCATTCAGCTATGGTACGAGAACTAAAATTGATAAATAGCCATGTTACACTGTTATTATGTTCTAGTGAGCTCATTAACATATACAGGAACATAGACGGATGTTAATTTAAAAATTTTAGTCTGCTCAGAAGGTGTGTCATTCTCATCAGGGGCACAGTGAACAGACCTGGAAAGAGAGTCAGCGCCGAAAAGGGAAAGCCAACTCGGTCCGGAGAAAACTAAAACTAAATAACCCGAACAAAGAGCGCGTTAATGAAGCAGAAAAAAATAACAGTTAACGCTTTCCGCACGGTTTCAACCGTGGTCCCACAGCTGGCCCTACGTGCCTGAATCGACTACCATCAATCCATGTTTAAAAATAGTTATTTTTTACCGTACAAGTCCTGAACTTCCAACTTTCTTGGTTGTTTCAAACTTGAAAGGCCGCTGGATGCAATAATTGCTTGAAGGCAAAGGCAGCGCTTATTACGCTGCTATAGGATATATAATTGTGATTATTAGAGTTATTCAGATGTAAACCGCAAAAATCTCGCTTGAAATATAAATGTTGATAAGTGAATTTATAACAAATTCATATAAGTTATGATTAAGTACCGCTCAGGGTGTACTCGCAGCACTTTACTTTAATAGACATCGCACAGAATAGCTATTATTATTCGAAGCAAATTTTTCTTCTTTTTTCATTGGCCGAGAGCCCACCACGTGACCTGCAAATAACTGTCTACAAAGAATGGTCTGCTCATGTGCAATGCCGTCCAACAGTGTTTGGCTGCAAATAATATTCCGCTCATGCGTAAAGAAAACCGTGCTTTTCTCCTTCTTGCGATCGCTCTTGCGTGAAAATGGCAGATCGCTTCGTTTCCCAAGGATATTCATTAAAAAAACAAACTCGGTGATCGAATGATAAAACAATTATTGAGCTCGGTTATCGCAAAATATCTTGATTTGTCAGTGTCCTGCAGATCAATTATTTGCCTCAGCCTTCGACTTCGGCAAATAATTGATCCTGCTCACCACAGACAAATCACGATATTTTGCTCAACCTCTCGTCCAATAATTGTTAATTGTTCTCGGGGCATTTACTTACAGTTGAGCTTGACGCATAGGTCTGTAATATTGCAGGTGAAGCGTAAACTGAATCGCTCTCATTGGTGGAAGTCTGCGTGCGGTCTTTGTAACCTCGAGCAATAAGCAAAAGAAGCCCTCGTTCGAAGTCCTGGTTCGAATCCTAGCTCGATCCATGCTCGAGTTCAAGCTCTGTATTTAGGTATACTCAGTTTAAGTATATGCCATGGAAACACTTGAATTCTGCCCAATAATGAAAGCTCTCTTGGAAATATTGCCCGCGTTCTACAGTCGCTTCACTTTTCAGAATAAACGAATCTGCCAACTCTTTACAAACGTTTCTGATTCTGTCAGCAATTATTCTTGTTTTTAATTTCCAAGTTACTGATTCAGGAAATAACAAATAATCTCTACAAATTGTGTTCCCATCATCTCATAGTATTTGTTTTTATACATGCAAAAGTTAAGTAACTTATAACGAAACTAAGAAGGATAACTTCTTCTTCAAGCTATTATAAAGTTTTTGCTTGTTAGGTCAGAAAAATATATCCCTTTTCTGAACTAGTCAAAGACAAGGCAGACTACTTACCTCTTGCGAGTGAAGTTTGTCGCGCCTGACGTGCTAGCAAACCATCACAGGCTGTTTTGCTCTGAAGGACCAGTAAGTTCAAGGCGTCCCTTGTTAAATATAGATGTCGAGCTACTTCGTTGACACTGTTAACAGGGAAAATTAAAGACTCGCATGCCACCATGGTAAAGAAAAGCTACACAAATAAGGACCTGTTTACAAGGAGAGAGGGTTACCCTTGTGATGTTGAAAACGCGTTAAATTCACGAAAAAAAGGGAAAATATTATCATCGTAGACAGAAAATAACTTTTTATTTTGTTCGATGTTTATAATTAAGCTCAGAAACTGATTAATAGCGTTCAAATTAGCACGATTACTGGTCACGCATGACTGCGAAAAGTTGACCCGGGTAGGCGAGTTATCCCTAGCAGAGCGTTTACAAGGCAGGTAGCGTAACCCTCTTGCTAAGGTAACCCTAGCATCAGGGTTACCTTCTCTCCGTGTAAACAGGGCATAAAACTGTATTTAGGGACCGGTCATTATTTATCGCCTGGGGGGGAGTCGGAGGATTTTGGGCTAAACACGATGAAATTTAGCCGATTCCCCCTTGAAATGTTATTTTATTGAAGTGATCCCCCCTCATAACTATATATAACTTTCGTGATCCCCCCCCATGTCTTTGTACCCATATTCACCTTTCGACGTGTATATTTAGTGTTTTAAACGTTCATATACAGGTAGTATTTCTAACTATGATGTACTTACAGCATAATAAAGCCGTTATCGCGCAGTCTTTTTTTAAAAGTGTCTCTTGATCCGTGTCTTTTCCTAGTCTGGATCCAGACATCTGAATTCAGTTGACATACAAGCAATCTTGCTTAAAACTGCAAAGTGCTTAAAACTGCAAAGTGCTTGAAACTGCAATCAGTGCTTGAAACTGCAAAGTTACTTTTTTTAGAGTGCCAAATAGCAGTCCGCCAAGTCCCTATCAGCAGGTCATATTTAGCGACAATTTTCAGAGGACCACACTCTAAAGTCATTTGCAGGCGATGAGTTGGCCTATTTAGAAGAAGCACATAGGCGAATCACTACACTGCACGAGGAACTTCAGTCCGCATCCAACAAGTTGACAACAGCGCATATTATTAAACCTGTCAAAGAAGTTTCCTTTGTGCGCGAGAAAATCAGCAATGTCAAGAAGAAAGAAGGAAAATAAGATGAAGGTCCGAAAAACCAAGGACAAGCGACTCAAGCAGAGGGCACGTCATCTCTTAGGAAACTTGACCTCAATCGAGGTCGCGGGGCAAATTTTCGGTTCAATCGAAGAGAATGATAGAGTTACTCCTGTAGATAGCATCAATGCTGACTTTGCTAAGAAACTAACAAGGCGTTTGTATCTAGACCCTTTGCTATGGCTACTAGAAAAGGGTATTTTTAGCACGACCCTAGCAAAAAATCTAGAGCAAGTAGCGGCCATTTTAAGGGCACAAAGTCCAGGGTCAACCTGCCGAAGGGGACTAAATGTTGCTGTTGAATCGGATGACGAGGCTCAAGAGGCAAACGAAGTTGTTGAATGGGATGATGAGGCTCAAGATGAGACAGATGAAGCAGTTGAATCGAATTTAGTATAGAGCTGACACAGGACGCCCATTCCTGGAGAGGCGATAAATGGTTTATGTTTAAACAAACACGCTTTTTACAATGTTTCAGTTATCAGAAGTTTATATAGTTCACAATTTAGAATTCACCAGTCATGTTTAAAGATGAATATTAGCTAAGTCATGAGCGCGTTATGAAAGGAAAAATACAAAAGCGTTAAAACAAAGCTTTCTCGATATAAATTGAAATGCACACATTCGCCAGTGTGACAGACTTCCGTTTTTTAAATAAAGTTGTGTTAGAACAAATTGAGATTGCAAATGCTATCATCTCCCAGCAGAATGGGCACATTTATGTTGTATGCTTTCAAACTGGCATTGTTCAAGCAGATTTGAGTGGTCCCCCCTCTGAATCCTTCCAAAATTTTCAGTGATCTCCCCTTTTGGGCTCTCAGTTACGACTGATCCCCCCCTCTGTTCTCCTAAAAATCAAGTGATCCCCCAAAATCCTCCGACCCCCAGGTGATAAATAATGACCGGTCCCTTAAACACAAATAGCTACAAATTACGTAGCTTGCAAGCGCTTAACACACGAAGCGGAATTTATAAGATCTCGGCGAATGCAAGACTTGACATGAAAAGCGATTAACAACGCTGACATACAAATTGTATTCTAAACTGTCAGGAAAAGAGAGATACAAGAGATCAAAATTGGTCATGAAAAGAACAGAGAGAATCAACCAAGTGCATATAACTAGTAAACAAAACATTGCATGAGTAGTAGGGGAAAAAAACCCGTCACTTTTTGTTGCTCAACCTGTAAAATGGATGAACTTCAAAGATTCATAAATATCAGTGAGAATAAAAAAAGTTTTTTTGTATCTTCCGACACTTTAAGTTCAAAATATCGCTATGAAACCGTAAACCCAAGCGAGGTTTTTTCCAACTCGCTTGACGTCAAACCAAGTAGTTTAAATTAAGAAGGCAATGCTTTTGAATCCTTTAAAGCCGTAGCCATTGTCCTTGCAAT